GTGCAACTATCATATGTTTGAGATATACAAATTTAAATCACTGTATAATAAATCTCAAGTTTTATCATCATGCAAGCTAGCAAATTTAGCAAGTGCTACATCATGCAAGCTATCAAGTTTTAGATATGCAAGGTAGTATGATAGCAAGTTTACAACATACAAGCTAGCAAAAATTGGTTCTATTGAAATATTAGCTATTTTCTTTCCCCCTTTTGTTATTGTAAACAAGAAAGAATAAGGGAAGAGCATAATGGTGCAAAATATTTCAATCATTTCAAGGCATACAAGCCATAAATACAAAGAGATCATGTCATAAAAGATAAGACCACATAAATACCTAAAGACATGGTTCATATAGTAAATCTCTTCTTTAAATAAAATACCAAGAAAAGATCGTAGGAGTATAAAGAAGAGATATTGATTAAAAAAAATCTCAAGTAATTCCAATAAACCAAGATCATAATTTTGATAAAACTCATTCAAATTCAAATTGTTAAAATCATCAAAATCTCAATATTTCTTTCAGGAGATTCAAAATGGCATAAATAATTTTATTGGTCTCTTAATAAAAAATCGATAAGATAAGAAAAAAAAAATTTTCAAGAAAAATACTTTCCTCCTCTTGTTTCAACTTATTGATTGATTTCATACATGCATATTCTTTTCTTTCAAATCCATACATCATTCATTAACACCAAAAAAGAAATTTCAAAAGATCACAAAAACTATTATGCATAAGTTCAAAATATAAACTCGTTAAGCATGCTTTCAAATCATCATTACATTTTCATTAAGACATCAAGCTTAGTTTCATTGAACATAATGTTGAATGATTCTTAAAGATATCTAAACTTCTTTAGTTTCAATTCATGTGATAGATTTTATATTAGCATGCCTAAATATTTGTTCTTATGTCAAAACCATGTATCAACGTTTAAAACGGAAAGATAAAAAATCATCAAGATCAAAAAGTGTAACATATAATTTCGATTTCAAATCATTACTTCAAGTCCTCATGCATAAAAATCATCAAGCATTATGCAAACATTTATTTTCAAAATATTCATCATGATAAGGCATATAAGCCAAAAAAATCATTAAACATAAAGCATATTCATCAATCATGGTTTCATTGGGCATAGGCATTTTCAAACAAAATTGAAAATCATCAAGATACACATTATTTCTTCATGAAAAATATACATAGGATTATCATTAGATTTAAATCTAATATTTTATTTTTTTATCATAAAACATGTAATTTTCATTATCATTTTCAAAATTACTATCATGATAAGCATGATCCTATTTTTTTTTGCATTTTCATTGCATCATTAAACATGCAATTTTCAAGAAAAATAATTAAGTTTGTTTTTATTTTTTGATTATTGTTTCATGAACTTTTTAAATTTTATGAGGAGTTCAAGTTCACCATCACTTGAGCTTATGCTCAAATGGTCTTCAATTGTTCTAAGTCCGAAATCTTTCCTGTTCTTTGGAAGGTGGCTCTCAAGTTCTTCACATGCATTGCACGTCATTTCATAGGTCATTAGAGACCCGATAAGTTCTTCGATCAAAAAAGAATTTAAATTTTTTGATTCTTGAATAGCCGTTATTTTCGAATCCTAACTCTTATTAAGAGAACGTAAAATTTTTTTTACAAGTTCAAAATCCAAAAAATTTCTACCAAGTACTTTTAAACTATTGACGACATCAATAAAATGGGTAAACATGTCTCCAATGGTTTTGCTTGGTTTCATATGAAAAAGTTCAAAATCATATATCAAAAAGTTGATTTTTGAATCTTTAACTTTATTAGTGCCTTCATATGTGATTTCAAGAGTGTGCCATATATCGAAAGCCGTTTCGTACATAGAAACACGATTAAACTCAATTTTATCTAAAGAGCAAAATAGAGCGTTCATAGCTCTAGCATTTAAGAAAAAAATCTTCTTCTCCAAATCATTCTAATGGTTCATTGGAAGAGAAAACCTTTCAAATCTATTTTCGATAATGTTCCATAAATTTAAATCCAACGAAAGTAAGAAAACTCTCATTCGAGTTTTCCAATATGTGTAGTCCGTCCCATTGAACTAGAGAGGACGAATGAGAGAGTGACCCTCTTGAAAGCCAACATAAGTCATTTCTCTTGGGTGTTAAACCAAATGAGAAATACGAGGCTCTAATACCAACTGTTAGAAAAGAGTCGGCACTAAGAGGGGGGGGGGTGAATTAGTACAGCGGTAAAATACGTCAGTTTCGAAAAATTCTTTCATACGATAAAAATCGATTTTGGAAACTTAACTTGAAACACGTGTTCGTAAATGTATTGAAGGCAATAAGCAAGTAAAATTGTTTGTAGTAAACTAAATGGCAACAATAGAAATGCAAACTAGAGAACACGCCAATTTTATAGTGGTTCGGTCGTCATGACCTACATCCACTCTGCCGATTCCTCTTTCGTCGAGGCCACTGGCATCCACTATCGGTCTTCCTTCAATAGGCAAAGACCAACCACCTTTTACACCCCTCTTCTCCTTTTCACAGGTTTAGGAGATAACCTTTACAAGCACACACTCTCCTCTCTAAACATAATTCTAAGTTTAAGCTAGAGAAGGGATTTCTCAAGTGATTTTTATAGTGTTTTCTCACTTTTAAACTCTCTGTGCTTGTGTGTGTTAACCAGGGATGAGAGTGGTATTTATAGGCTTCAAGTTAATTCAAACTTAGAGCCTAAAAATATCTCATCTTGGGTTTCCTGGGTTCGGGCGGTACCATCGCTAGTGTCAGTCTAACACTGACACTGCATTGGGCAATACCATTGCCTGGCTCCCTGCCACTGGGCGGTACCACTGCCTAGACTGACGGTACCACCGCTTGGCACCCTGCCAAGGGTGGTTCCACCGTCTAGACTGGTGGTACCATCGCCTAACACAGTCTCGGAGACTGCGCCACTTCTTGGGTCACTATTTAAGCCTTTCATTTGGCCCAACACAATCCTTACATGGGTCCAATTGACCCCTAATTGGGTTGGCCCAATTCCAATCTCAATTATATGCTAACTATGAAATTTAAGACATTTCCTAAGCTCAACAAGTTCGTAAGTCTAGGTTTCTTTCGGTGAGCTTCCGGCAATCTTCCAACAATCTTCCGGCAAACTTCCGACGATCTCTCGGTAATGTTCCAGGGGACTCCCGGCAAGCTGCTGGACTTCACGATGATCTTCTTGGTGAGTTCTAACGAGCTTCTTTGGTAAGTTCCTGGACTTCCCGGTTGATTCCGGCAGAACTTTCGATGAACGTTTGGACTTCCGACGAATGTCTAGACTTCCGACGAACTCTTGAACTCCCAACGAAATCACGTTCTTGACTCCGGGACTTCATTTTGCTTTATGCCTTGCTATCGTAGTTAATTCTGCATATGTAAAAATATACTTTAATTTAGACAATTATTATTAAGCTTGAATCATGTCGTCCGGCATGTCATTGGTCCATCGAGGCTTCATCCGATTCTTCGGCGCATCGTCCTCTCTTGCGGCCTATTGCCCAATTGGCCAGTTGACTCCGCAACTCTGATATCCTTGGCACAATATCTGCTCTTCTTGGCCCGATGCCCGAATCCATTGCTCGAAGTCTTCTGTCGATACGTCGACCGATCCTCCGGCTCGACGTCCAATCTTCTGACATGTTCCACCGGCCAAACATGATTCTTTCTGCTTTAATTGTCTCATCCTGATCGAAGCATCCTGCATCACTAAAAATGCAGATCAAATCATAAACACTTGTCAATTGGTTTCATCATCAAAATATGAGATTCAACAAAAAGATCGGGTAGTGGAAGCCAATGGCCTCGAGAGAAGAGGAATCGAGAGTGGATGTAGGTCACGATGACCGAACCACTATAAAACTCGGTTTGCATTTCTATTTGTGTAATTTACCTTTACTGCAAACTTCCTTGCTTGCTTTACTTTCTTATTACACTCTTACGAATGCTTTTAAGTTAAATACATTTTCGATATCGATTTTATCAAAACAAAGATTTTTTGAACCGACGTCATTTTTATCCACTGCACTAGTTCACCCCCTCCCTCTTAGTGTCGACTCGATCATAACACTTAAGACTCTCATAATATCAATAAGATTAATGCACATACTTAATGGATAAATAAAAAAATTAATTAAAAAAAATTATCACTTTTTTTTTAAAAAAAAGAAGTTTATCGTCAAAGAAGGGAGCATACAATTGTTAACAAAGACATTGTTGTTCATAGTTGGAGAGGAGATGTGGTCATCATTGATGCAAATACTAGAGAAGACCAGATGAGTTGGCTATCACAGCTCGCTATCGGAGAGGAGTAGAGGAGTACACTATCATAGAAAAGGGGAGGATGTTACTGTTATTTGTAAATACCATAGAGGTGTAGAGGAGTTCGTAAATACTATAGAAGGGGAGGATGTCACTACCATTCCTAAATACTATAGAGGACCAGAAAACTTTGATTCAGTGTAACCCTGGTGTAAATATTTTTCTTTTGATTCAAAATAAACTTAGATTCGCTTCACAAGATCTAATCTAAATCTATTTGACTTGAACCGTAACCACAATCACATTGAACCAACTTTTGGATTGATCAGGTTTGAATTAAACCATCTTATTTAAAAAAAAGGATCGATTCAATTTTAAGGATAGTTTTGATATTTGAAGTAAAAAGAGTGGCCTTGGTAAAAATATACATGCGGCACCATCCAAAAAAAATTCTTATTATTCGAACCTTTATTTTTTGAGTAAATTACCCAATTTATTTATCTTTTGCTTTTGCTTTATTCGCGATGAGCAACTTGCTTCCAATAGTATTGAAACAGCCCGTCTCAAACGTACAGAAACGGTGGCACAAAGCTCCCGTCTCCGATGCGGTAGGAAATGCGTAACAATCAGATGGAATGTTTCGTCGAACGGCTGCTCGTAGGTATCGTTAAATTTCAAAAGCGAACCCCGTCATTAACCACATCGCACCAAAACAACACAGTTCATCGGCTCGGCCCAATCACAACGGACAGCATCTCGCCTCTCCTCGGCCTCCTCCTCCTCCGCCTCCTCTCTCTCTCTCTCTCTCTCTCTCTCTCTGCGGTGATTCCTCTCTTCCTTATAACCAGCGCTTTCGGAGCCGACACACGCGATGGTACCCTGTGTCGAACGGGCTGCTTGCCTATGAGTGGCTGCTGGTCGCACGGGAGAGGACGAGGAGGTTCGGATCTGGTGCTTCGCTGCAGACGCTGCCGGGAGTGCTGAGGTCATCCATGAAAGGCCGGAGGAGAGCAGGCGGAGGGAGGGCCTGGGCGAGGGGCTCCTCCGCTTCGTCCTCGTGGTTTGCCCTGGTCGCCTTCCTCTGCTGCCCCCTCTTTGCCACCGTCGCCTTCTCCACCTTCCGAATCTTCGGAGGTAATCCTGTGGAATTCGGAAAAAGGATCTTTTTCTCTTATTGGTTTTCTCCCGAATTTTATTTTGCTTGCTGTTTTTTAGCTAAATCCCATGGATTGTGATCCATATCTTGTGTCTTTTGCAGATCTCTCTGTGTTTCTTCTTACTAATTATCATCCGAATTTGTAGGCTTTTCCTCGTTTTTCTTCATCCTTCTCCAATTGCTTGGAAGATTTATGTGAAATTTAATGGATTAGGTTACTTGATTCACTCAGATCTTTCAAATCTAACAATAACATCGTAATTTAATTTCCTTTTGTTTCTCTAAGAATCCTTTATTGGCATCGAATTCGTTGCTTGCCCCTTTTATTCCACTACCAAATCGGCTAAACTCCTCTTATCTATATTATCTTTTCCTCTCCTCCGTTGCTTTCCCACATTTCTATTCTTGAAATCGTTTGTTCTCAATAGAACATGTTTTAATGATGTCAAAGTGTGTTTAGTTCATTTCTCCTTCTTTTTCTTTTTTTCCCTGGCAATCTAATCTTCCTTGTTGGCTTCTGATGCATCTCCGATCTGGATTTGGCAGTGTCGTTCCGCCCGGTGCTGCTGCCGACATGGCAGACTTCGGTCATCAACGCTGTCGCCACCGATCACTCCTTCCTCCGGCGAGAGTCCATATCCCCCACCGCCACGGCCACCGCCACCATCGCCGCAAAGCGTGGCAGTAACAACCCTTCTTCCATCCGTATCCAAGAAGCCATCTCCTTCCCGGACCAAGTCCTCGTCTTCCTCCAATTCTCCAGCTCCCTCCCAAGATTAGATCTTGTTTGCCTCTACTATCCCCCAAGCAATCCCACCACCTCCTCCTCTTCCCCCGTTGCTGACCTCCGGCTCACGGCCATCATCCCCTCCTTTCCAACTTCCTTCATCCGCTGCCCCCTTGCGCCTCGCGGCTTCTCTATCTCCCTTTCGCCTGATCTCCCCCTGCTCAAACCCCGGCCTTGGGACCATCTCACCTACGCCGCCCTTCTCGATCCCCACGACAACTCCACTGTTGTCTTTGCAAAAGGCTTCAACCTCCGTCCTGCCCGCCTCTCCGACCCTTCTCGCTACGAGTGCGTCTTTGGCTGGAACTTTGCCAAGCCCAAGTACCTTCTGACCTCCCCTGCCCTCACTGCAGCCCAGGAAATCATCCGCTGCAACACCCCACCCAGCGTCCTTCTTCGTTTCCGCAGCCAATCTGAACCTAATCCTCTCCTTGTATCAGTCAAGACCAAGGGCCGTGGTGCCATGACCCTCCCGTCCGTTGCCCGCCCTGAGACCCTCCGGTTAAGCAGCAGGAAGAACCGGCACACCATGTGCGTGTGCACAATGATGCGCAACCAAGCCAGGTTCCTCCCGGAATGGATCATCTACCACTCACTCATTGGGGTCGAGCGGTGGTTCATCTACGATAACGACAGTGATGATGACATTGAGCAAGTGATTGAATCACTCGGCATGTCCAATTACGTTGTCAGTCGCCATTTGTGGCCCTGGGTGAAGACTCAGGAAGCAGGTTTCGCACATTGTGCGCTTCGCGCCAGAGGTTATTGCGAGTGGGTGGGATTCATTGATGTCGATGAATTCTTATACCTTCCAACCAATTTCACGCTTCATGATGTCCTCCAGAACTACTCGAGTATGCCTTGGATTGGAGAGCTCAGAACAGCTTGCTACAGTTTTGGACCTTCGGGAAGAAAGACAACACCGTCGGAGGGTGTCATGGTGGGATACACATGTAGGCTGGGTGCACCTGAACGGCACAAGTCAATTGTTCGTCCAGAGGTCCTGAATCCTTCTCTCATCAATGTCGTGCACCATTTCCATTTGAAAGAAGGGATGAGGTATGTGAACATGGAGAAGGGACTTATAGTGATCAACCATTACAAGTATCAAGTGTGGGAAGTGTTCAAGGAGAAGTTTTACCGGAGGGTGGCGACCTACGTTGCCGATTGGCAAAATGAGGAGAATGTGGGGTCGAAGGACCGGGCACCAGGGCTGGGAACAAAGGCAGTGGAACCATCAGATTGGTCAAGCAGATTCTGCGAGGTTAACGATACAGGGCTTAGGGATTGGGTTTCTATCGCCTTCATTGACCCACAAACTGGCCTTCTCCCATGGCAGAAGGGCAGGAATTTAATTTGATTCGTCACATCAATACAGGGAAGGTAGAAGCAAGTGGAAACAGAGGTTTTTGACAAGTTGTTGACGGTTGAGCAGTCCTAATTCTTTTTCACCCTTCTTTGTCTCTTCTTTTTTGCTATTGATCTTGCTGCAACTTGTTTCCTTTTTTTTCCTGTAACTATAGAAGAGGCAAATCATTCTTTTGTAGATAAGGCAATACAATCCTTGGTAATCACAGTAGGGATGAACTGAAATAGAAGCTTAGATTTGTTATTTTTTTTTCCAACCATTGCGTTCGTATCAATTCCTTTTTTTAAGCTATTAATTCACGGTAAGTTGGTTCCGATGGACCTTTCTTCCAGAAGGTGGTCATGCTTGCTTTCTGCAGTCCACCTTGTGTTCCAGACAAGGATGTCATACTCTCCTTTTATGTGGTCCAGGAAGAATCTTGCTAAGAAGAGAGAGAGATTAGATTAAAGTATGTTTTCCGAGTAAGAAATATTCCTCTGCAAAATTCGATCTTATCAGCCCGGTTTGTTTGTTTTATATGCATATAAATATATATATATATATATATATATATATATATATATATATATATATATATATAAGATTAAAGTATGGTTTCCGTGTAAGAAATATTCCTCTGCAAAATTCGATCTGATCAGCCTGCTTTGTTTTTTTTATATACATATATACATAAATATATATACATATAAATATATACATATATACATGTATATATATATATATATACATATATATATACATATATATGTGTATATATATATATCTATATATGTATATGTACATGTATATATCTATATGTATATATATATATATATATATATGTATGTATACATGTATATATATATATATATGTATGTATACATGTATATATATATATATATATGTATGTATACAT